TTATTTGTTTAAGTTATGCATAACAGTCAAAATGTTCAAGAGTAAAAAAAGATGCCTGGTGTCAAATCTACATGTTATGAACTGAGCCTTAAACCAACAAAAGGAATTAAAACTCTTTGAAGCTTGGTTTGTGCTCAATTTGTGAGTACATATAGCCTTTCCATATTAACAATAATATAATCACGTGACTGGGATTACTCCATCCATATGCCAAACGGTCAATAAACCAAAGCAATGGAGGCAAATGAGAGTGGAACTTTCAGTGTAGTTGCGGAAAAAAAAAAAGTGAATGTAAAAAGGTGCAACAAGATGTCTGATTCTAAGAAAGATAAAACTCTAGTTTCTCTAGGAAAACAGCTCAACTATGAGACTTCACTGAAGCCAGATCTAAAGCAAGTTGACAGAAACATAGCACAATTCCTACCAAATAGTGCTACTGGTGTTAGCAATGTTTTCAGCTCTATCTTTAAAGCTGTCGATTTTTCACAAGACACTACATCATGTTCAGCATGACCCAGATATATTTAGCAGCTGCAGCCACCATCTGGCTTTCTGGTAGTTCAGTGATATTGCTGGTAGATGGCGCCACACCTGCTTATGTCAGCTTATTTCACCCAGTGCTTGGGATCTATTTAGGCTCAAAATGGACCTAAACACTATCAGGATGGATGCTTGGAGTACATGACATTATTTGATCATAATCAGCTTGATTTTGGTCTTTCTGGTATACACAAATAATTTGACCATTTACCTCTAAAGGAGACGCATTAACAAAGAATAATGAAGAACAAGAAAAAGCTACAAGGTTTAGCTATACCCAGATACTGAATACTGAATTTAACCTAAATGATCCATTATTTGTCTTGTTAAAGATTTGATAAATCACAAAGTGTACCTGTACTACCTGCAATGAAACCAGACTGTAGGATATGAGAGAACCGACCCTTTAAGACAGCATGTTGAATTATTTTTAATTCCTTTTGTAAAACACATTTTGGGTCTCATAAAAAAAAAAGGGGGAAAAAATGGGCAACACAGAGAGCATCACACCTTGTAGAACTTGTGAAAACAAAACTTTTGTGCCGTCATCAGGAACCAACAGTTTGGTTTTCTGGA